CCAATTTCCAGTGGCCCAACCCACAGTCCAGCAAGCCAGACAGAATGGTTCTGTCAGCAGGATCCAGCCCACAGGACATATGACACCCCTGGTCTATTCAATGAAACAGACCCTTCAGCCTCAGGTAAGAGATTTTATACAGCTGGGGTTTCCCTTATCTCTACTCTCCCATTTCCTTGTTGATATTCACTTAAATAATAACAAAAGGCCATTCCCACTAGCAAGCCTAGCTCAAGGGCCTGTTTCCATATTGCTGGAGTTGACTCTCAAGATCCCTGTTCAAAAATAGTGGAAGTTTTCCTATTAGCTCATCTGTTCCAGTGATTTATGGTAGCATAACCTGGGGAGGCCAAGCAGGGCACATGCCACAGGTGCTGCTTAGGTTGAGAGCTGCCAGACAGATGGGGGAAGAAGGGCTTCACTATGCCTGCAGGAAGCAGCCAATGCAGGCAACGTGCATCAAAGAGTGCAACACATTCCAGGTATTGTTAATGGTAGCGAGACCAGAACAGAAAGTCAGCCCCAGATTTTAATTAGGGGAATGCTCTAAGAAAGTAGTTACCTTATGGAGAAAAATAGCAAAGCTGCATCCACGTGTTATACTGATAACTCACTGCCAAAAACTTTTAAACGAAACTAGATTTTATCTAATCTTTTGTACAGGTTTTATTCTCATGTAAACATGATCAGGACTATAAAGATGACCTGCATTAAAACTCAACCACTCTGTCCTTTTGAAGAGAAAAAAGAAAGGGAAAAACTAACTTGTTACAGGAATATCCTCAAGTAAAGACTACTACTGACCCCTAGCGTAATGTTAAATCCACTGCCATTTGTCAGAAATAGACTGAACTGCTACTGTAGAGTAGCAATTATACATGCCAATGGTATTGTGATTTTCCCCCAAAATACTTAAAGTTGGACAATACAAAGCGGTTTCAAGTAGATTTGATTTTCTAAAAATTCCAAGTCAAATCTGTATTTTAAAAAACAGCATCTCAGAGGGAAATCTGAACTAATTTACAAATACTGAAGTTTGTTAAGGTACACCATGATGTGTCTTATCTGCATATTCTAGGCTCTAGGAACTAGACGTGAGGGGCTGGGAAGGGTCATTATACAAGTACGTTATTTTTGAGCTGGCAAACTACTGCAGGATACCTTAAACTAAGAGTTTAAATCCAACCACATTACCCTGAACATTTGGTCATGTTTAGGTACTAGACACGGCAAGAATTAAATTCCCAAACAAGTTGTCTTCAATGCAAAAAGTTTTGCTTGTAAAGAGTCTAGAAAAATCTAACTTTAGACTCCATGACACTGAACAGATCAAAAAAGACATAGCAAAAATACTGTGTGAAACATCAGGTATCAGAGTTTTAAGTCTTACCTGTATGACTTTTTGATATCGTCAGAAGTGGCATTCTTGTCCAGTCCTAGGACGTGGTATAATGATTCCCCAGAGGTAGACAGCGAGCGTTGCCTCTGGTCTGCCATCTTGAGCTAATCTGTGTAGAGGAACCACCCATCAGACATTAAGATATAGAGATCTTTAGAATTCCCATCTCAAATAGAAATCAAAAAACACCTATAAAACAGAACAGAGTGCAGACCTCCAGCTCCCATGAACAATAAATCTTCAATCCAGCCAAAGAGCTTAGGTATGAACTTTCATTTTTTTTCTTTAAAAAAAAGGTGTAGCTGGGTTTGGAAAAAAAATCTAGCATTTCAAACAGTTTGCCACATTTTCATGGCTCTTTCAGGTATATACTGTCAGTAAAAATACTCCAAAACTTTCAGGATAAATCTAGGCAATACAATGCCAACAAAGCACTTGGACCTGGGAAAAAAACCTCAAGGAAGGGACCGTCAGAACAGCAAGCTGAAGCTTGCCCCTTGAAAATGTTTCATACCGCCCCCTTCCCCTGGAGTACCCCCTAACCACAGCAAGGAAGAACTCTTAGGATGTCAAAAATTGGTCCCCAGGAGACTGTAGGAGTCAAGACTCCTGGAAGGGTAGCACTGCGAACAAGCTTAGAGGACGTAGCAAGCCAAAAAGCAAGCAGCTACCAAGAAGGAAGTCTGAAGTGACAGCTTCAATCAGCCTTACCTGTACTTGGGAGAGTAAAGTAGGTTTCTCTAGCTACACCATGAGATGAGTTAACTCACGGGTTTTAATTTTAAATAATAAAGTAGGAATCAGTTAATGCCTGGCATTAAGATTCAGTGACTGAGCTTCCCTACAATAGCCTCCGAAAAGCACCAAATATCTGCATCAGCAGGCACCTGTTCCTTAGGGCACGGTCCTTGTGGGGCAAGTCTCCAAAGGAGAAGCTTGGCGGATGTGGCAGCAGTTCCCCAAGCCCGTGGCAAAGCAAACTTGGGTTGGTAACAGTGCCTGCCTTGGAGCACGGGCAAAAAGAAACCCCTTCCACAAGTGCTGTTGTTAGAAAACAGCCGGTGTTCGTGGGGCACAATGGCCATACAGAACAGAGGTAAAGAGTTTTAAACAACTAATGTGTTGGCAATTAGAGGATAACAGTAACCACCTGCTAGTTAATTTGAGAAGGGAAGGCAGCTTGGTTGGACTGTGTTTTAGTGCTTAAATAATCTGCTTCAGATAAATTCACCAGCAATGATAGGAGATTTTTTTTTTTTTTTAAAGGCTACCTTCTATAAATGATTTTGGAAGGGACTGGAGGGAAACAAAGGCTACAGACTGCCTGAGCATCTAGGTCAGAGGCAGTCTTTCCTCTAAGAGTTTAAACTTACAAGGCCAAAACATTTACACACACATTAGCTGAAGCAAAATACTTGAATATGAATGAACCTCTCACCCAAATTCAAATATGAAAAGGTCCACAGCTCTTCCCCACGCCAAACCATTGGCAAATATTGCATTGCATCTAACAACAGGAGATTAGCATTTGCCATTCTTTAGCTGTAGTACAGCAACAAGGATGAGCACAGAAGAGAAAGACTGTTGGCTATTTCTGGATTATGTCATTATAGCTAGCCTGCAGCAGATTAAATAGCATTTGAAAAAAGGTATTTAAAGTGGCAGACTTGTCTTCTAATTTAATCCTTCACCTTCGATCACACATTGAATAACTTCAGCTTTCAAAAGAGTACATAAAAACAATATTCTGAAAAGCTGCATCTTTCACCACGTGGTTCTCAAGGACAAGTCTACAAAAAGGAACTGGTGCAGTTCCACTCCACAGATTCAATCACCCAAGTCTGCCGACACAGCAGAGAAACTCTCATACCTACAAACCACACACTGCTCCTAAGACAGTAATGTCTTGCAGTGGACACTCATTCGGTTCAAGCTATCAAAGACGACACAAGACCACACAGTTATATCAACCAACATAAAAGCATACTTCAAAAATCTTCTCTTTATGCATACTTCCAGTTAAGGTGCACAAAGTACAAAACTAAAGGAAAAAAGGAGTGTGAAGGACAGTTTTACTGCTTTTTCATTCTAAATGATTTGTGATGAAACAGCATCTGAACTCAACACTATAGTCAATTCTGTACTAATTCAATTGCATCAGAAGCAAAAAAGAGATGAGAAAGTCCTAGAATATTTAAGATACAAATCTAAACCAAGGCCATCATCTTCAAACGTGAAGGCTCAACCCACTTCTCATATTCGGTGGGTCAAACTTGTTCCTGGTAACACTAAAGAACTCAATGAAGTTTCCCCAGCAATGACTTGACCCTGTATGTTTACTTTAATGAAGAGATCCCTAATATCCAATTCAAAAATCAATGGTGAGCCATGCCAGTGGGTTAAGTGAACTCTCAGCTTGAAATGGGAACAAGCCTTGCCTTTGAAACAGCCAAGTTTTGGTAACAGCACTCTACTCTGATATGAGGTTATGGATTCCTATTTTAATAGGAGGTACATTCCGCTAATGAACTAGAAACCTGGAAATGGCCCGAGTCTGTATCCAGTTATTCAGGCAAGTGATTCAAATTAAGCTCTATCATAGTATTCTGCTAACCCATCTGCCCATCAGAAGCTACCTATAATGCAACAGCATTCACAAAAGAATACCATTTTTTTAGGGCCATCATGGATATGGAACAAGCTACAACACAGCTGAGCTAAATAAATGAAATTATACAAATAAGAGCCATTCCAGATAAGCCCTTTCTCATCTGTTGCAAATGTTCTCAATGGCTTTATCTACCGAGTGCTTAATATATGCATTATAGGTGAAGCAATTAGGCCTAAACATGCAACATGTACTTATACTAAAAGACCAACTTTAGTTGGGATACAGTGAAAGTTCACAGAATAAATCCAGGGCAGCAAACACTGCACAGGTCCATGGATTTATACAAACTGCTGACTTGCACTTCCAAAGAGACCTTGTTGATATGCAGAGATTTGGCAAGGATCTTTCCCCATGCTTAGCCTTGCCTTTGCTGATAAACTCCTTTGGAAAGCCTTAGGAAAATTTGCTTGGCTCTTTGATTAAGTAGTGAATGAAACAAAACTCCAGATTTAGCAAATGAACAGCTCCAATAAAAGGGACCTCCAATAAGCCTGAAAACATGGAAAGCCAAAAAACAACTTTTGGGGCATTTTCAAGAGTCATCTGCTAATGTTTTCATAGAGGTTAATGTGCATCTACAAGGCATAGCATGCAGAGGGCATGGAAAACCACATCATGTCCCTGACTGGGGGCTGCTTATAAAGCAATATTTTTTTTTATGCTGCATAAAAGAACCTTTAAATATCTCAGACACAGCAAAAGTTTTCACTGCAAGAAGGGCTTAACCTACCAGAAAAATATTCCCCAGATGAAATCGTCTCCTTTGGCTAAATTGGGAAGTTCTGCATAAGTTTTCCTATCCCCCACTGAGGCACAATCACCCTGGCTGGGGTTGCGGCAGCAAGTGGAGCAAGAAGCTCAGGGCTCAGGCGCTCATTCTGCAGCCCAGGAAGCGGGTTACTGTGACAGCCAGGCCAGATTCTCAGTAGGATTCACTGCATAACTGGTAGCAATGGTCACTGAATGCTGTGACCAAAGCAAATTTATTTAGAAACATCATGAAATTCTTACCTCCAGGACAAAAACTACAACGATAACCTCCTAGAAGCAAACACCATGATCAGAGACAAAAATACTTTGAATCCAGGAAAAGAAACAAAAGAACCTCTTTCTTCCTCAGGCTAGAAATTAAAAAAGGCCAGTGTAGGTTTCAGAGACTGAGTACTAAAATATTAAAGGTTCGTCCCTTGTTGCACACAGCATTATTGACATCAGTGAGAATCCCTTACAAGCACCACCGGAGAGAACCAGCAGCAGAATTACGTTACAGCCGATGCTCTTTACATTACAGTGCGTTCATTATGAATTGTAGTGTGCTACACATCTTAGCAGCTGAAATATAGTATGGTTGAACAAGACTGGAAAACAAGTCTATTACTTTTCCTGTTTATACTAGAAGAATAACTAATCTAGCTTCTTGAGATTCATCAGATATCAAACACTAACAGACAGATTTCTCAGCTGACTAACCAATACAAGATAGATAGTGATATTAATCTGGTGTGGCCTAGCAATGGTGTACGCCGATGGGCTTCATGACAAACACCACATCTGTTTCCACTGACAAGTGGGTATGGAGAAGCATGAAAATGATCTGACCATTTTCTCCCTCTCTATATATGAGGTGGGTCTGTACCAAGTCAAAGTCTCATGATTTTAAATATAATTTTTGATGCCTCCCTTATTCTGTCCCCACACTTCAAAGACTGGCATCCCCAAATGGTAGGTCACAATAAACAGAGAAGTGCATCATCTACTGAATCTTCTCTTTCTAGTAGTTTTGATTAACAATATTAAGACAAGCTCTGTATCTTTAAAGAGGAGTGACATCCAACACACTCACCAGCCATCTGTTATGTATTCCAACCAGGCAGGATTCCCTCAAGAGGTTTTGCTTGGAAGGCTATGAAGAAAGGTAATCCCCTGGATTAAAAACAGCACTTTTAACCATCTGTGCTCCCAGTGCCAAAAGCATGCTGTGCTGATCAACTTTGCTGGAAAGTGGAACTATGCATTTTTAGCATGGGGTGCTCTTTAAAATCCTTGTGTAACAACTGCAGGGCTGGAAAAGACCTCAAGAGTTACCAAGCCCAGCTCCAAGCATAAAGAGCTGGACTCTTCCCTCCTCCAAACATAAAAGGCTGGATTCCCTTCTCCTCTGCTGTACTGCCTAGCATTAGAAAGTTAAAGGTAGCTTCTGCAAAAGAGAGCTAACAGAGAGTCAAACCATGGCTATCAGTTGGCAAATTTCCCACATCCTGTGCAGGATATTTCATACACTACATCACCAGCTCGGCTTTCAGAATTGATGTTTCTATCAATCAGCTCGTATACCAAGTGTAATCCAATTGCAGATTCATTTACTGCTACAGTGTCACTAATAGGCTGCTACAGCAAGCCAGGATTAAATACAGAATTTATGAGAAATCAGGATATAATATAACTGCTCAAAGCAGAAACCAGAATAGGATGCCAACCCTCCCTATCACAAAAGGGAAACAGATTTCAGTTGCATTTCCAACCAACTCAGTTTTCTGGAAAAAAAAATACAAGAAGAATGTTCCCCTTGATAACACAGCTTCATGTTTCAGATGAACAGCACAAAATAGCGTGCCAGGCAAGCCCAACAGGCAGATAAGAGAAGCTGAAGTTATTAAATCATATTGTCCATGACCACACTGTGCAGGAACAAGAGAATGAGCTTCAGTAGAGGTGTAACAAGCCTACTGAGCACCTACGGTGGCAAGGGGGGAAGAGGGGTACATGGGCATGCTGACCACAGTAGACACTGCGGGGTAGAATTACATTCTGCTTGCCCCACTCACCCCCAGGCCCCAGATACATGGCTTAGTGCCATGCTGCACTGCCCAGCTCCTCTGGCCAGGCTTCTTCCACCATAGCAAAGACTCCTGGCAGGAGGTGGAGAGGGTATTCTGGCACCTCCTCACAGTTGGTGCCCAGGGCAGGTATCTGGCTCACCCTGCCCTATTTATGCTACTGAGCTTCAGTGACAACAGCAACAATTTTTTTTTTAAATCAAGAGGAGTGATGAAGCAGTTACTTAACATGATGGCTGGCAGGCTGTAAGCAATGCACCACTCATTCCACCCTGTACTACGGGCTCTTTTCCATACTACTGCAGCATGCAGGCAGTGGGCATATCTACGTGGAGACCAAACCATTCAACAAGCACACAGCAGAAACTGTACACAGTGCACACCGCAAGGCTTTGCTTCTTATTCTAGCCATGTGCAAAGGGGACAAAGTTTAAAACTGAAGAGCCGATACCACATTTCATGAGACTGATTTTCTTTTGGTTCTTTTGTGGCTTTTATTTCTTAACAAGGGTTTATAGTTTTCCCCGGGTGGTACTGCTAACTGTAGATTAAGTTTTGCTGTATAATCAATAATTTGGTGTGCAAGTATTTTACAAATAAGGAGGTATTAATTTAAAAGAAAAAAAAAGGCTATAAACGATGTCTCAGGATAAATATACATAGAGATGACTCCAGAATTGGGGGGGGGGGGGCAGCATGCACTCTGTTCAACCTCAGCCGCACTCAAACAGCACTCCAACGTTACCCCAACATTAAGGTGACATCAATTCCCACTGCAAAGGATGGATGTGAGCACACAAGATGTCCCTTACTTCCTGTGCTGTCTTGGAATCAGACCCAGTTATCTCAGGTGTACTCTGGCTGCCTCCTCCTTGTCTATGAACCAGCACAACTACTGGGCAATCTCCAGGAAAAAGCTTTTTCTTCACAAGGAATTGCAAAAGAGGCCCCAATATGGACCATACATGGTGGCATACAGAGGGCTCTGCAGGCAGCACCACCTTGCCTTTAGTTACCCAAGCTCATGTGCAGTCACCAAGCCAGTCCTCCACAGCTCAGGATTGTGAAGCCTTCACCTGACCAGCAAGCGCCTGCAGAAGGAGTTTTAGTGACATGTTAGATAACTGCACAATAGTGACTGAATGTAATTTTGCACAGCTAAAGGCAAGATAGTGCAGTCTAGCAGTTCATTCCACTGGTTTTGTGGGTGAGAGCAATTTCTGCACAAGAGATCAGTAAAGACAGACAAGTTCTTCCATAACCCACGCCAAATGCACAGAGGCCCAAATTAATACACTATTAAGAATCAGTGGATATTCTGCTAGAAGCACAGTCCAGCACACAGGTTACTACAACACTGTGTATATACCCCCATGCATCAGACCTAAGGAAGTGGGGACCTTGTACTGAGGGCACACTATGCACAGAATGCTAGCTAACCTAGAGTAATGGTGTAGAGAAGGCAAAGCCAGAGTACTAAATTAAACCATCTCCAAAACAGTGTGCTGCATGAGGAAGTACTGGTATTGTTAGATACAAGTGAACATGGAGTATGGAGAAACATGAAATAAAGAGTCTGTCCATAAACAAGCTGAACTAAAATACAAAGCAAAAAAACTCTGAAATGCTAAAATTGTTAGAGGAAAATGAAACAATACAGTGCAGACACAATCAGGTGTCACTCCTGGGAGAAAGAAGCTTGACTTAACATTTCCATAAATAAAAGTTAGTGGCAGAATTGCTCCTGGTATAAGTTAGCCGGTCCCCAATGTACATTATAAAAGTAAAAATCATCAAATTTCCCTGTTAAAAGAAATCAAGGACCCCTTAAAGAACCAACCAATCCACCCTCTTGGTATGCATTTTCATCAAACAGGTATTTAGAGAAATAGAATATAGACAACACCTGCTCAAAGACCACAAACTCTGAGTTATTTAAGAAACAGTGAAGTACAGAATACTGCCACCATACTATCTCAGTGGCAAAGGCTCAGCTGTGGCCAATACATACAGCTAACAATTACACTTTCAGCAACAGCTTTGGTTCCTTTTCCCCAACAGCATTAAAACAGTAAGTTATAATTCAGTTACTTTCACTTACAATATTCAAATATGCTCTCCCTCCCAGAGCAACTACCTTTCCAGTATGCTTAATTCTAGTCATACGGCATTTAAACACAGATAAACTCAACAGTATCTTAATCTCAAAGCCAGATCACAGCCAGAAAATAACAGCTTTGTAGCTGCATCAGTCCACTGCTAACTCAAAGGACAGCATTGTCTATTTGCGTATTAGATCCAAAAGCAGATGAACAATGGTGGCTTTTCCTTATGCTTCTAGGCTGAAGTATAAATATTTATTAGTCAATAAACCTTTGTGAACTGAACAGCAAAGGTTTCCTGCAATACTGCTTTTCACATTTCAAATTAGCCTTGTGCTTCATCTCATATTTAAAGCAGTGAGACTGGCATGGACTTGGGGGGGCGGGTTCTGCTTTCCTCTAGCAGGCATAGTCCTCTTCCTTGAAACTCTCAAATATTTATTCACAAACCACGTCCTGTCCTGGTAATAGCAGAAGGCCGACAGTGCCCTTGTCCCTCTGCTTAACCTAGGCAAGTTAGGGCATTACTGATATTTTCAGGCACTGTGCTGGGTAGTTGTGTGAGGGTTGTTTGTGCAGTTTTATTTGGAACAGGCTAAACGGACACTTGTCCAGGACAGTTTAGACAGGGATGAGCCTGCCTCGAGCAGGGAGTTGGACCAGATGACTATATGACCTGAGGTACCTTCCAGTCCTGCTTTTCTATGATTCTACAAGAACATATGCTAGAAAAATGAACAGATTGATTATCAGGGCCTAGACTCCTGGAGGAAATGCTACTTTTTGCTAAATTGAAAGGTTAGAGTGAAAGTATCACTGATGCTCAGCATCCCTGAACAATCACTTTAACTTTCAGAACCTGAATTCGAAGATTTTGCCCTTAGTTTGTTTTATAGTACTAATTCTATCTGCAAGAATGGTGCATCTGGAATAAGAAATTTCTAGGAGCAATTTTATAAGCATACAAAGCTATTGGGAAATGCCACACGTGGCTTGTATCTCTTTTCCCAGCATTGTCATAGTAATAACAATTGGTACTTAGATGAATTGAAGCTCTCTCCCTTTAATCAGTCTGCTCCTCATCCCTGATTTACTGAATACAGAAATTCAGAATCACTTCAAAAGAACTGTGACGTCACAAGTACTGGCCTGATATCAATAAGTACAGTAGAAAGGGAAGTGGTGCAAGTGCAAACTCACAAGATAAGTCATGCAATGTTTCCATATAATTGATGGTGGAATTGAAAAAAATTATCCTGCCTAATAACAAAAGCTAGAAGGGGCAACCAGATTCTCTTTTACCTATGGATGTTTTCCTAGAGAACACGGTTCAATTGGGCGGGGGAGGGAGCAGCCAGCAATCGTCTGATGAGAAGGAAGTTTACTCACAAGGATTTCAGTGATTCATTTCCTGCTGAAGTGAGTCAGACCGGTCAATCAAGGGTGCACCTCTGTTTGTCAAAACCAAGTACTGCGAGTCTGCTGGAAGGGACCTATTCTCCAAACAAGACTGTTCTGCTTTAGCAACCTGCCTCATTACTAACACCCACATCAATACCCTTCCACTTGCCTAGATCAGTTCCTTCCAAATTCAACAGAACGCAACAGTAAAAGGGACTCTGGATTAATGCATAGGCAAACTAGGGCCCCAAGTGAAGAAGGGGCACAGCTGTGCTTATTTTACACATTATAATTATTGAGTGAAAAAAGTAATATAAATAAATATGAAGTAGATATAAATATTAAGTATAAATAAATAAACTAAAGTAAGCAAATAAGTAAATAAAGTATAAATAAATAAGTAGGGGCCCACGAGCTTGTTTGCCTGGAGCCCTCTAAAGGGTTAATCCAGCCCTAAGGGTCTTTGAGAAAAGAAAACCTCCTAGAAGTAAATATATTATTGGTGAGAGTGGATAAATAGCCATCCAATATATGAACTCAGAATCCACATTTGAGAAATCTTGCCACAGAACACACTGTTTGCACTCTGAGCCATTTGAAGGATAAACCTCAGTATGACGCAACAATTGTTAATGATAATATCAGTGATTTATTCTTATGATGTTGAGCTATGATGAATTTGCTTTGCTTTCACTGCATTTTAAAGGAATACCAAGAAATTCTGCCGCCTATGCCAGCTATTTTGAAAAACCATAGCCTTTGGATGTTGATAGAGGAGAGTGCAAGCACCATGCTTTCTAGAAATGCTTACATACACACACGCGCACCGTGTTGTCAAGAGCCATTAACTACACAGCAAAAATAGGCCATTCCCATGGCCATACCCTGCCGCGCACACACTTTCATTTTAAACCCTCCCAAAAAGAATTCTAAACAAAGAAAATTATTCTTTGCAGAGACACTCAAACTTTCACCAGTGAAACTTTAAGAAAAACATGGTCGGTTGAGAAATCATTTTACTTCCAAATTCCTATGTCCTCTTGATGAAAAAACTGAACCTATAAAGCTTTGGGCATATATACTTCCTTTGAGATGTACAAGTATTTTATTTAGATACAAATATACAACACTCCTATTGCCTTTGTTATGTAAACAGGAGACATTTCAACATAGCAAGGTCATTTGAGGCCAACTGACTATTAATGTAAGAAGCCACCTGAGTATTGAATATTAACTGAAGAATAACAACGTGCCAGTGCTTAAGCAACTTCCTTCCCACACTCAACGACAAGACTGGCAATGTCAAAAACTAAATGACAATGCCTAGAATTATTTCAATGAATGCACTACATTCAAAAGTTTTCAAATGCAGTGCATTCAGCAACCTGATGAAAAATGCACAGCGTTCAAAAGTTTGCCTAAATCTAATCTCAACCATGCAGTTTGTCCAATGAAAGGTATCACCCACAAAAATCCTTGCCCCTCAAATTTCATCTGGCCTTTTCACACTATTTAAGTGAAGAGGAATGGTGTTTTAAAATCCCAGTCAAACTCTGTGTCTGTTTGCTTTAATTACTGCATCTCCTGAAAAGTTCAACAGAAGACCCAGAGCATCCATATGGCTGTGGTTCTGTTCTAGGAGAAGGTGCATTTAAACATGAGGAAACGTGGATGATCAGGCTTGGTTTGCAGGGGCCAGATACTTGTTCTGCAGGTCCCAAGTCACCAGCCAGGGTTTAAACAGAGGATCTGCACCACGCAGAAACCAAGCTGAGGACAGCATCCAAGATATAAAGCTCCAGAGATCCACAGAGGCAAATCTCTGACATATCAAAGGGAAAGCTTTATCAAGATTGTGCAGGTTTCTTCTAGTGTAATTTTAAGATTAAATTATAAAGCCACTCTGAACTGAGCAAACGCTGCTCACATCTCTCAACTTTTACAGGTCAGACTCATAACCGTGATCGTTAAGCAGCACTCAGGTCTCAGCTCAGCCCATTTTTACACTTCTCTAAGCAAGCAAATGGCTAAGAAAAGGAAGCTGCCAGTTCAGCTGTTTCTTCAGCACTGTGGAGAAAATAATGTTTTACAAGTATTGAAAAGGAACTGGTTTAAATTTATCCTGTAATGATTACACTAGAGTATTAAAATGCTATAAAAAAGTATTAGCAGCTTTCTGTTACCTACAAAATTGTTGAAACTAAACAGAAAGAGAAATACAAATTAAACCCCTTTTTAAATGCTTAATATTCATTAATCTGCCTGTCTAAAATGGCTTCTTTTAAATACCTTAAAATACTTGGTTTCATAGGTAATAAAGTCACTCACCTACGTCCTGTTCATCAACTCTTGTACTCTATCTTAGCTTTCCCATCTTCAGAGAAGTCAATATAACTAAAAGATTTTTTTTTAATGACTCTCACCCTAGTTCTTCATAGCTTTTGCCTCTTGCAGCTGCTGTAGTAGAAGAGGAGGAGGAGAAAGGAATTGGGAAGAGCTGCTTCTGAGTCAGCCTGCACGTCTTCCTCTGGTACCAAGGCAAGAGGAAGGAAGGAACTCTCTCAGCCTAAGCATGACTCTCCCTCCTCAAAGAAAAGAACAGCTCCTTGGCACAGAGGGTATGGCTACCGAAGCAACACCAAGGAAGAGGAAGAGAAAAGGAGTCATTTACTGGGGCTAAGGTATTCAAACCGCTGAAGCATAAAGGTTCAACCACAGCTGCTTCAGGAAGCTTCTTATCATGAAGCCACTGGTCAGACAGGAACGTGGCTGGTGAAGTTACCATGCGATTGTACCAGCCCCCAAAACAAAACCTACTTGCCAATCCTTTACCAATGACCGGAGCTAGAGATTTATCAGCTGTTACAAACCCAACCTCCACCAAATGCTTCTTACTACACACTTTGAGATGCATTAAGTTTTCAGAGGCTGGGGGGGGAGGAGGGGCTGCTATTGCACAAGTCAATCCTAGCAGCTGACTCTGTCTCTTTTCTTGTAAAAATGCGATGTGAATCATACACTAAAACAGTCATCTTTCCAAACCTCAGAATGAAAGCTCAAGCTCCCCAAGGCAGCAAACCACCATAGCTGAAAGCATCAGTTAAAGACTTTTTGTTTCAAGCAATATTTACTGCATAAAACTCTCAACCAGCAGACATATTAGTAAATATTGATTTACGCCAAAAGCTTAATATCATAACTGGGCTCCACATCCAATCCATCTGTTTCATGCTAAGTACAAGTAGTTCTCACAATGTTTGTTTTTTTCCCTGGGTAACTAAAGGAAAAACCCACATGCAGTGATGATGAACTTCTTCAACTTTGGTTTCTCCTTCCACCCACATCAAGATGCTGGAAACTTCTCCACCCACCACGTTTGAACTTTGTTTCTTCAGCAGCATCCGTCAGTTAGAGATTTCATCACTCTTAAAGAAGTCAAAAAGGTATCACTTACCTTAAATTAAACTAATGAAATTCCAGGTACGTCTAGTAACCTTTTCCACAGACACCTGGAACTGGAACCTCCTAAAGGACAGAACACAAAAATCAGGCACGGGTTAGCACGCTGTCCCAGCACAGTTCTGTTTCTCTCTGGTGTTGTTGCATAAGTGTTTTTATTTTAACCATGTAAATAAAGACATGGAGGCAGGCAGCCATTTCAACAGATAAATACATACAAGGCTACGCACTTACTAGACATACAACCGCCTACAGTCCACTGCAGGCAAGCATTCAAACATGTTTTTGCTTGGATTTAAACATTTCCAAAATGCTTCCATTCAAACATTGCCGCGTTGGGGTAGTTCATAACAAAAGGAATGCGAACAGATCAGCTTCATTTCACTGTCTTCATTCATTGTGTTAACTTTTATGAAACTGAACTTGAAGTCCAATTAATTTTTAGAAAGTGAATTAGAAGTAATTTCCTGTACCTGTAACGAGTCCGCTGTTTATATGCATAGCTTTAAAGGCTCGATTTCCTTAAAAACAAGCAATGCTTTGTGAAAGGGCACACATACAAATACATGCATAGGAAGCAAAACTGACTGAACACAGAATTGTGCAAGCAATACTTTACTAACAATGTTAGGAACTGGGATGTATGAAAAGTAAACCGGCACCTCTGGCGTGATTTGAATATCTGTATTCAAATCTTAAAAGAAAGTAGAGTCTGCAAGTCAATTTTTTAAAAATGATCTAATGCACTGTTAGAGAAAAGGATAAAGAAATACACTTTAAAATACAAGAAAAATTCATCTGAACTAGCAAAAATAGGTTGACAGTATAAAAGCAATGTTTATGTGCACAGTATCACACCTCCTTTCCAAGTTTCTGCACAACAGTATCCGACTACAATTATAGAGGCTCCTTCAAAGGCACAGTGACTGAATGTCAAAGTGCCACTTAAATTCCATCTTTACTAGACATTACTAGCAAATGGTAAAGCAGTGTGTGGCTTCCAGCTGGGAGGCCCATGCTGGCTCTACAATGATTTAATTATGCCAGTATAAGTTTCCTGCATACATAGAAGGATTTCTATTCAGATCATGTTTGGAGCAGATTAGAAGTCGAGAAGGTGTGAAGGGAACCAGCCTCAGTCACTCCCACTTCCAGATACTGTACAAGGGATGGGGGAGGAAGACAGTGATTCGGCAACACCAACTGCTTCTTGTTCAACACAAAAAGTGCAAAGATTGCTGCTGTTCACTGGTCACATGCAAATCGGAAGGAAACAAAAGTTCAATCAGAAACTGCAGGGAACAGACAGGAGTTACAAAATACTAGATAATGTGACTATGCAATTCAGAGGGAAGAGCAATAACGGGTAGAAAGCCCTTCTGAATCAGCAGACTAGAGGCAGATCTAAATTACATCAACAGAGATTTAAAGATATTGATATCCAATAACGATAGTCTTTGTTAAGTGTGGGGGCTCTGGACTCATTTATGATGGGCAAAAACATGCCTCTCAATAATCATCCAGAACAGATACCCTTGCTGACAGTCTCCAAGAAACCAAAGATAGAACAGGCTGAAAGAAATAACCACCTACTGACCACAGAGGTGATGCCTCCACATCACCTTGGAGATTACTAGCCTGGGAGCAGAGGAAAGATCGCATTGCCTCTGTAAATATAGCATCTATTCCATGCTACAACAGAAGACAATTTTTTTGGGGGGGGATGTCACCTCTTCAAAAGCACTAAAAAGACTTAATAAGGAACTGATGCCAAATAAGTCTAATAACATGCACATACCGAGAAAGAAGGAAGAACTGCAGGCAACAAGAAAGCACCCATCCTGGGCTTGATAAATCCACTTGCAAACTTGACAG